ACAGTTTTGTTTGTATCTAGTAAGACACTTGAGAAATGTTTTAAATAGTATGCAACTAGATAAACAAGGATATATATTACAAGCAGAAATACTAAGTATATCTATGCATCATTTTTACATAATTATTTAAATTTCAGTAAATACTGAATTGTAGAACATTTGAGTGGTTTGTTGCACAGTGAAAAAATAATTTATAAAATAAAAAATTGTCTAATTTATTTTTTTAATGTTTATATATCACACAAAATTGAGCTTTTGAAATTTATTGGAAGTCTCTTATGTGTAAAAATTGATCTTATAGTGATGTCAGTGCCTGATTAATGAACAATCTAACCAAACTATAACTTTAAGTCCCTCCATAGAATCAGTGACTATAATTGCTGTTCATAATTCATAATTTCCATTTTCTAACCCTTTCATGAATATACCAGTTTCAAGTTACTATCTATACATAGATAGATCAGATTTACAGCCAACAAGCTTATGATGTCCAGCTTAATTTCTTGGAAAGTTATTTTAGCTAATTTACCTCTTTTAGATCAGGTGGTTGTTCAGTATTCATGGACCCCTTATGGAGATAAAATCATGATCATTTTTAAAATTTCTAATTTTGCTAAAATGTTGCCGTTCTAAAAAATATATATATTGTATATCAGGCAGGTGGTAGCATTGCCTATGTAGGGATGGCTTGGATTGTTCATTGAAATAGTATTTTAAATATCTCCTCAATATTTCATCAGAACTTCACAATACTGTACAGTGTTTCCTTTTCTAACAATATCTATATAATGACTGACATGATATAAAAGACTGTTTAGTTTATATATTATTGATTAACTTATTTTGTGAGTAGATATTTTATTATTGTTCAGTTTTTGTTATAATAAGAGTTAAAAGCAGACAATTGCAGGAAGTTGTGTTTATAATTCATTGATGTTGAGACATCGTGTTCAATAAATTGACATCGAGAATATAGATATTTCTAGAAGGTGGGCAGACAATTAAATGATAAACATATAAATAGTGTGAGACATGCAGAAAAAGCAGACAGAAAAATAGCAGAGAGAGTAAAGTTACGGGCAAGGAAAAGTTCAGCTTGAAGTTAACTGCTATAGAAGTGATAGGCCTAACGGTTGACATAGGCCTAATATTTAATATGTTAGAGTAAGAATTAACAGTAGAAAAGGAGATAAGAAGAAGAATATTTCGTCAAAGCATGGTTCTAAAGTAATTGAATCAGCCTGAGTGCACTTTGACAAAAATAACAGAGGATGTTTTGAAAAACTCGTGCCATAATTGTAAGAGAATCAACACAGAATACTAGTACGATAGTAATAGAGAAGATAGTTTGGTTTGTCAACTGAAATTCTAAATCAATTGAATAGGCCTAAGTGGACTTTTGAGAATGACTGAGTCACAAGTTTTGGGAATGTCTGTAAATATCATAGCAAAATGTTTGAATCAATAAATGTTTTGTGTTGTTGCTGTACTGTTTTTGTTTGTCTAATTTGAAGTGTTCAGTATGTAGATACTGTTTGTATATCTATAATTCTATAATACATATGGATCCATATACAGAGACCCTTGCTCTATCTTAGCTTGGGGTTTCCTGAAAGCTTAATCTGGCCCTGAGTGATGTATGACTAAAATGATTTTGGTGAGTTACAAATACACAAAGATTTAGGAAATTAGTTATTCTTACAATTGTCTAAAACAGTAAATTAAATACATTTCAAAGCTTTGGCAAATAGAAATGTACACACATTATTAGCATTAGATCTTTACAGCTACTTAACTTACAAACTAATAATAATGAGAAAAATATTAATTCACGTCTAACTGCTAACTGTATGGTTCTTAATGTGTGTTTTCCTAAGGGTATTTAAAAAAAAGGGGTTGTTATTGTTTCTTATGTCTAACTGCTAACTGTATGGTTCTTAATGTGTGTGTTGTCCTGAGGGTATTTAAAAAAAAGGGGGTTGTTATTGTTTCATGTTCAAATACTAGTGTAATAACCATGTTGCATGATGCTTATTAACTTGATTGTTGTACACATTACTTTGATAATATTGTTGAAACATTTATGTTTTACTGAGTATAGAGCTATTGAAGGAAGTAGAATGCATGCTAATAAAAAAAGAAAAGTAAAGCCTTAAAATTATGTCACTTATCTATTCAGCAAACTAGGGAATCAGTGAGACGCCATGTGTTAGATTTTGGAGATCAACTTAGGAAAGAAAATGATGTTGGTCTTATTATTGATGGAAAGGTAAGCTTTCTTGTATATGGATAATTTGGAAAATACTTTTATGTTAAAGTTATCTATGTATTTCTGTGCTACTGAGGATCTGTTATTAAAGATGGAATACTAAATGAACTGCACAGTTTTGTTCGTTCAATCATGTTTTAAGTCTTTTTATCAATAGACTCCTTTATATGCAGTTCCTGTTCATTATTTGCTTTTGCAAGGATTTTATGTTGTCCTTTATTTCTAGGCTCATTACACTTATTGAGTGCATGGTTCCTTTTACTGAAAAATGACATAGAATTTAATTTGCATTTTCTTGTATTCCAACTAACAACAACCAAGTGGTGGATCCAATATCAATGAAAGAGCATTTAGGGCATTCATACATAACATTTGAAGTTTTGGATTTAGGTATTTTATCCTTATACCTGAAGAAATGATGATTTAAAGATATATCAGGTTTAAAGATATATCTTAACCTATGGAGATGCACTATGACATGACTTATGTAACTGTTTTCTAATTTCAAAAGCCTGTTTGACTCTGTATGGTAATACTAAAGAAATGTTTTGTATAGCAATATTGAAATTCAGTTGAGTTGGAAGACTCGTATCTTTCAAATAGTCTTAAATAACATGATTTATAATGAATAGAAACACATTTTGTAATAAAGATTTATTGATAATTTCTAAATTTTTATTAAACTATTTATACTTGTTGGTTAATGTATATACCAAATGAACTAATATTTTAACCAGATTCTATAATATAGTGCTTTTAAACTGAGAAGGACCAGCATTTTTCATGGTACATAGAAAGAAGTTAGCAAATGATTGGGCTAATTTAGATCCCATAGCAATATCATTTTCTTGGTTATTATCATATTCCACGTGAAACAATTTGATGACAAAGCTTGTCTTTCTAAATCACATACTTATATGCAATCTCATTTCGTCATTGTCATTTTGTTACAAAAGTTCTGTACATAAATCTATGGTCTCACCTAATGGTATGTTGGTATAAATATACTCCGTATCAAAAGTATTACAGTGTACTCCATTATAAAGACTGTAATTTTTTAGGTTTTGAGAAAACTCAAAGCTATCATTGGTAGTTTAATCATTTCTAATTAATGGTTCCAAAAACTTAACCAAAAACCTACCTGTTCATGATTATATGCACCAGTTTTTCAGCACAGCTACATGTAAGAAGATAACCAGTGATGGAACCATTGTAGTTTTGCATTTATAAGTTGGTTTGTTTTTATTGGGATAATGTTTTGTTTTTTTTTGTTATACTTTAGCAACATATTTGATGCAATTCATACACTTGGTACAGCTTAAATGACCCCCAGAAATAATTTGTTTTCTTTAGTTAATGTTCGCTTTTTTAACTTTTTTTTAATGTTTAACTTTTTTATTGTACATAAAGGTTTTATTGGCAGATAGTTAACTACAGTTCCATACTGATCCTGTACAGTTATTCTTTAAATCACATTAACATCTACACAGTACAGATTTCTATGTAAGGTTTTTCTAAACAGTCGCATTAATCTTGTGCCATCTTTCATCATTATTGAGAGTCCTTGTAAAGACCAAATCTTTTCTACATGTTGCATTGAGATTTGATAAACAGATTTGGGATTCCATGTTCTTATTGGTTTTCATAATAATATTAATGTTTTATGTTTAGTATCACCAAAGTAATTATATTTGTTTTGTACTTGTTCGTAATGTAAATTAAAGTTTTTATAATACATTTCTTAGAAATTTTCTGACACTTACTAATGATTTACACAGGAGAATCCCTGTAACAAAATCTTGTTTTCATTCTGTGTATGGAATAGCATGTCAGCTTTCACTCATTCATATTACGTTGAAAATGAGTTTAATAAGTCTGTAGTCAGCTGTCTGGTGGACATATGTGCACTCAACATGTTTTTTAAATTACTAATGGATGTGAGTGTGTGTGTGTGCATGTGTGTTATAATATTGCTACCTTCTTTCATTATGGTTTTCAGAATATAAGGTATACTTTTCTGTGGTTTCATAGCTTTTGATTTCATGGGGGTTCTTTTTTGATTATCAGTACTGTAGTAGTACAAAATAGTTAGTTAATAAATAAACTGCCATTACCAGATCATGTAAAAACTTCACTTGTTTTTTTATCACTTTCTGATAAGGCGCCTATTCTTTTTTCGTTCTTGTGTATGTTACTATATTGTATTTCTGATATAAGACTATATAAATTCAAATATATTTATAGAGTCATATAAACTTGAATATTTGTTGTCCATTGTAGTTTTGAAATATATGTAATTGAATTGTTAATTTTATTTTTTGTATTATCATTAGGTCATTTTGATGCCTAAACTTAAAGGAGAAAGAATAAGCTTTCTATTTAATATCTATGTGGTTTTGGGTCCATTTTACTTCACCATATAATAGGCTAAATTAACTTAGGTTACTATATGGTGAAATAAAGTGGACTCAAAACCTCGTAGATATTATACATGCTTCACCGTTGTAAGAGACATAATGTATTTCTTTGGTCTGCTGACCCAAGCTGTGCTGATGAGCCTTGAATAGGTGAAACTGCAGTCCACAGCAGAGAGTACAGCCAATAAAAGAATGTATTAGCCTTCTACATGACAGATTCTCTTTTCAATTTCATCTCTGGTGAAAAAGAAAAGACATCTTTAACGTATGTATATATAAAATAAGCATTAAGAAATTTTTGCAAAATCCAATGTAAATCCCAGTCGTCACCCTAAAGTCATAATGGATATTGTTTGTGGTAATAGATTCCAAATGCATTGGGGATATCCTTAAAAAGTTCTTAGAATTCCTAAAGTAGAATTGAAATGAAACCACCTTAATATTTCTACAATATTCCACTACCAAAAGAAATAAAAAAAAATATTAAATAGAACTACAAGCCCTACCTTAATATTTCCTATATAGTTCATACTCCCAACCTCTTCCCTTTTCTGTTGAAAATTTATTCAAGTATGACATGGGTAAGCTGAGACAAGCACCACTACTTGAAGTTAGTCTTTCCTTCCCAGTGTGCTGAATAAAATTATAAAGTAGCTAACTACTTCTAGTGACAAAAAAGGTATATTCCTTATCAAAAATTTATTTCTTAAAATATTTTTATACTTATTATAAAACCGCATAAAAATTTTTCTTAATTGCCAGTATATATAGCCATTATTTTCAAGTATATTTATGAATAATATGAGATTATCCATAAAAGCATCATTATTATTATTACAAACTGTTAAAAATCTTTTTAGATGGGAAATAATGATGCCTTTTAACATCATACATGGAATAACACTACTGGGGGTAGGTAGACCAAGAATGTTAAAATTAAATTATCTTCCCTTATCAAAAATAGCCAACTTTGTTTTGCCTTCTACTAAATTAATGTCCAAGTCTAAATAGTTGGCATAAAAATCGTTGTTGTTTTTTCCGTTGCAAGTTCTTTTGGGTATATTAAGTTAGGTGTAAAGTTCAAGTTATTTTTGGCAATTAAATTGTCTACGTAATGAAATATATATATATAAATCAGGTTTTGAAACCTGTTTCCAAAATGAGTTTTCATAAAAGAAATGCCCCTCAGTGGCACAGCGGTGTGTCTGTGGACTTAAAACTCTAGAATCCAGGTTTTGATACCAGTGGTGGGCAGAGCACAGATAGCTCATTGTGAAGCTTTGTGCTTAATTACAAACAAACAAACATAAAATAACAAATACAAAATGCCAGTATTTGAAAAAAGTATGCTCCCATTGGAATACCTCTGTTTGTTTGCATACTTGTCTGTTGAAAGTAATATAACTATTATAAACACAGAAATGGAATATATTTCCACACTGAACTTTAGTAAACTTAAATTACAAAATCATCAAACAAATCATTGAATACTCTGATTAAATCTTTCAAATCAATTTTTGTTTGATTGTTTGTGATTAAACACAAAGTTACACAATGGGCTATCTGGGCTTTGCCTACCACAGGTATCGAAACGCGGTTTATAGCGTTGTAAGTCCGCAGACATACCACTGTGCCCCTGGGGGGCCAAATCTATTTTAGTATACAGTGTAGTAAAATCACATGTAGAAACAAAGCTAGCCATACCTGAACCATTGATTTAAATATTCCAAAACTGGAATGTTATTTTCAATAATCCAAAAATAATTATTCTATAGATACAGATTTAATAACTGTATTTAAAGAATTAGTTATAAATCTGAACTTAATGGGATTTTTATGCAATTTTGGAATTGCATATAAAAATGGCAATTGAGAAGAAGAATCTGTATGTATATTCCATTTTTAATGGCTTTCTTTATGTTAGTAATAATAGTATTTTTCTTTAAAGAACTTTTAGTCAATTGTATTTGTATTATTAATTTCTTTAATTAAAATTTGTGTGTATTATTTTTTACATATAAACCCAAAATTACAGCCTGCTTTGTCAATTGGGGTAATAATAAATTGTTCTTGAACTTTTTATATTTAATTTTTGATGATATTGAAAGAAGTATCTATTTTATATTCAGATATATTTAAATTTCTTAATCGATTTTTCATGGAACTCATGAAATATAATTTCCATTCAAAAAAGGAACATGGAGGATAATAAGTTTTTTTGCTTATTTTGATAATATAGTTATCAATATTTGTTTTCCCCAAATGTTTTAAGATTTCACTGATTTATAGTTTTACAAATAATGACATTACTGAGATTTACTTACTCGAATCAGGTTTATATTTAATAATTAAACAGGCTTTCTTCAATTCTAACAATTTTCTCCCATCCGGCTAGTCTGGTGATTTAACATTTATCAATTTCTGAACTATATTAGATGGTAGTGTATGTGTCTGATAATTGCTAGCGTGTACTTTAAAAAGTGTTTGCAAATACTTATTTGTTGCTTGTGAATGTATTTCACAGGTTTTATTGTTACCAGTACTCAGAAATAACAATTGGTATTTGTATACAGATTACTAATACATATTTAAATAAGTCTGGTAGTAATAAGTGTTTGTGTTTCTTAAGAACTTTTGATCAGAATTATGTTGATTGTACAGATGTTGCCTAAAATACTGTAAACAAAAACTTAACTAACGAAAATAGTCTTAGCAAGAAACAGACTAGTAATATTTAATGGCATATAACAATACTCCAAATAACTAAAACTTGTGATATTTAGAATACAGTGTGTCATCACTTGGTTATTTTCACTTTTAACATCTGTTTTGACTTGCAATAATGTCTTACAATCAAGGTTCATATACTGAAATAGCAAAATAAAATAATTCTTACAAATGTAAAATTAACTGTTGACATATGTGATGTTAAAATAGTGGATTAAAGCACTCCTCAGCTTGGATTTTGATGTATTTTTAGTCCCCATAATGAGATTATAGAACTTCCTCTGACTATGGATCATCATTTAATCTCTTGACGCATTCAGGATTAGAATACAAATACACTTGTCCTGTTTGCTAACAAGAGTAGACAGTTTTGGTATTTTAGACATATTAATTTCTGTTTTAAAAGAGTCAAGGCTCAGTAGTGAAGTCTCATCTTTGTTTTAGTATTTCTCCTAATACCTGCTCATTGTGTATCACTTATCTTCTTTTTTATTAATAACAGTTTATTATTTAAATACAATCCTTAAAATCAGTGCATTGGTCCACCACTTTAATGATCAGGTATTCTTCATTTTGTTTTAATTAATAAAGTGTTTATTTTGTTAAAGTTTACAATGTGTTTTTTTTTTCTCTTTCATTTAACCTAAAATGAATCATTGCACTAGGTCCACAAATCTTGAGTTGTTGCAAAGATTGAAGAACTTTGTGTTAGGTTTACCTTTTGGTTACCACACAGACAAAGATTTTATTTTGTTCCACTTTGCTGCTTATTAAATATATAATTCATGGCAAACGTTTAGGTTTGAGGGTGAATATATAATTACAGACCCTGTAATAACCAACATAAAGTTTCTGACTTATTGTTCATTATGCCAATGTTGCTTAAAGTTTTATTTAGCTGATTAAATCAGGTTTCCTATTTCCTTAATTCAGTAGTTTAAGGGATGACTATTTCATTGACTGTATCTTGCAAAGAACTACAGTGTTGTTCATTGCATGTTTGAAAGTTTGTTGAGTCACTGACTCTTATTGTGAAAGTTTTTGGAATAAGTGAAATTAATTTTATCTATAAGTTATTTGATACTTATGTTGAAATTATTTCGTATAATTATTTGTGTTGTATATACATTACAAGTCATTTTGTATACTACATTCACAGAACCTCTGAATTTTCTCATTTGTATATTGTTCAAGTTTTTTTTTCAGTTTGTAAGAAAGTTACATGTGAAAATCTTGTATAAAATGTTTTCACTAATGCCAAATTTTCACCTAACTAGTAAGGATACAGTATTTTGAGTTAATTTAACTGAAATTAGGAAATTAGATTTTCAGCTTATTGATATAAATTATGAGCACTTTTGATGATATCTGTATTATTATCAATAACATACAAACTGGTAATCTTCTGTATTATAGTTGTTTTTTAATATATCAGTATTAAACTTTTGGAATCTTACGTTAACTTACTTTTATTAACATAATTAATTTAATTCATTTGTTGTGATTTAGACCTTGAAATATGCCCTTTCATCTGATGTCAGGAATGATTTTGTTGACATAGCTTTGTCATGCAAGTCTGTAATTTGCTGCAGGTGAGTACCTTTGTTTAGTAAAGTATAATCTAAAAGATTCTTTTTTTATTTAACTGAAGACACTGTTTTTTCTTTTAACTTCAGTATTTCCTCTGAGTATCATGATTTAATAATTTTGCATTTTACAAAGAAGAATCTAACATGCTCAGTTTATGTTTTCAGGGTGTCCCCAATACAGAAAGCAGAAGTTGTCAATGTTGTGAAGGTGGCTACTCATTCTGTGACACTTGCTATTGGAGATGGGGCAAATGATGTAGCAATGATTCAGGTATATAATGGACATAACACAAATAGCATCTTTGAATTATGATGCATAATTTTTTTTTCTGAATATTCAATTACAATTTCATTTATACAATGACAAAAATGCTATTATGTCTTAAGATTTTGTAGTACTTTAAACCGATATGTAAAAAATGTTATCTTGGTTGAACATTTAAAAATAAATATATTATCTCCTTTTTAAAATTATCACATACACATTGTTTTGCTATTAATCAACTACAACATATAACCAGAAAATATTTTTATATCACCTCATGTAGATTATCATTTAACTAACTGAAAAATTTAAAGTTATTTGTAATATTTTGAAAGAGGTCTAAATCTCACAAGAAATGAGTTATTAACTCATATAAAATCAAGAACAACTGGGACAAGATCTTGATTAGCCAAAGTTAAAAAGATCAGGTATGTAAATAATGTTGTTTTTTTGTGCAGTATCAGATGCTTACAAATATTATTCTGTTCTTAACACATGTGATCACATTTAACATATATTATTGCTCCATTAATAATGCTTCTTAGTAGTGTTATGAGTTTCAGATTTGTTTTAAATGCAGAAATAGTGTAATTTTAAGGCATTATGTTAAGTTTGTTGTTTTTATATTTCTTTCAGAAATAAAATTGTATTTTACTTTTTTAAAGCTTTAAAAAAGTTTACTACTTTAAATGCTTTTGTTAATCAATAATTATTTCCAAACAGTTCTAGTGATTGGCTCATTGTACTTCAATAGCCTATAGCTTTAAGCTTAGGTTTGTAGCAAACTGATTTTAGTTTTTTTGGGGTATGTTGACATTCTCATAACCATTCCTACACTATATTAAGCTTGTTGAATGTCTTTACAATTAATTATAAGGGATAAATGCAAACAAAATAAGATCCAACCCTCATGTCTGCATACTTGCATATTCCTCGGATGATTCTTAAAAAATCTATTAAAAATCTGGTGCTTGATTATTGAATGAATTAACTCTTTCATTGTGTTGTGTCGTAGGATTTTTATAGTATGATAACTGTTTTCCTGTATTTATTGTGCCATAGAATCTGTGGCATATACTAACCTTCATTTCCTACATCTCTACACAGATGTATTTGCCTTCACTAGGCATAATGCATTCCCATGTTTCCTTGTGGTTAGACATTGTGTCAATCATGACAAAATCATGTGAACACTGGATATTTTCAGCAGGATAATATGCTTTCACAGATGGTTTGGGAGGAATCTTAGAGCTTCTCCAACATTCCTTGGATTATTTCTGCAGCTGTTTAATGCAGTTTAACCATGATCAACCTTGCTTTCACTTGTAGGAGATCATCCCAGAAAAATCAAAACAGTGAATGTCAGAGTAATCCCAAGGTTTATCCCAAATAAGTTTTGAATACTGGATGCTTGTAAAGTGTGCACTGTATCTATGTATATCAAGATGTAGAAATCATGTAACTGAAAACAGTAGGCCTAAAAGTGTTATGCTGTCAATTTTTTGAGTGCTAATAGTATATGAATGAATATGATGTCACAAAACAAAGGATTGTACCTTGAAATTGTAAACAACCCGTTTTAGTGGCTTTGAAACTATGTTGCAAGAACCCCAATATTATATCAGTATTACCCCCCCCCAAAAAAAAGGTTTTCTGTACAAGGAATAAACACTGTTGCTGTAATGAAGGGGCTAGTATTGTAGTTTTTACTTAAATTGAGAAGTAACTGTTCTTGTACAGCTAAGTTCATTACATTTAGTTTTGTTACCTACTGCATGTATGCATACGTTTTTTTAAAGCAACTATTAAATTTCTTCACAGGCTGCAAACATTGGTGTGGGTATAAGTGGTGTTGAAGGACTTCAAGCAGCATGCTCCTCAGACTTTGCCTTAGCACAGGTATGATTTATTTATATGACTGCATCTTTAAATCATAAACTTGAACTTAACCGTGAAACTTAAACTTGAACTGTGTGTTAAGTGATTCTTTCTTTCAACAAATGACTTATCTCAGTGCTGGTGCTTCAAGGAAGCTTGAATTGTGGTTGTTTTGAAGCACATATACTTCCAGTGTTTATATAGTGCTTTATGATTTTCTTCTCCTCAGTGGGCTGTCTGAGTTGGGGGTTATCCATATCAAATCAACTAATGATTGTAACACACTATCTTAGATTTTGATGAAATTTGGTAGGAAGTATTTTCAGAGCATATGACATATCCGTGCAAAGTATTATCTGATAATTACATCAAATTTGCCAGCATCAGAGCAGTGACTAATATTGCTGTGCATGAGTTTTTGGCTTCCCTTTTCTCAAAAACCAATCAAGGTAGGAGGCTGGAATTTGGTATATGGTATATTAACAGAACTTGTACTTTAGATTCCAAAAACGTATGTAAAACAGATAGTTTAAAAAAATAAAATTTTCCAAAAATCATGAAAGATCATATTTTTCCATTTTCTCATTCAGTCTGCAGAGCTAGTTATTTATATTTTCACATTTATTTGGATGTCAGATATAATTACAGTTATTGAACTGTTATTATTTATCCTTTTTGAAAATATTTCATATCCTTTGACACTTTTCAGTGAAATTACATATCCTGTCATGTTTGTCTTGTTGAGTACTCTTACCTTTGATTGGTGGTCTGTTCACTACACAAATAACATGATCATAGGAAATACAGGAAACATATCTATTTATGTGGCCAAAAAAGCTTTTGGTTTAATTATTTCTTCTCATGAAATTTAATTGATTATCAGCACATTCATCTAATTTTTGGAAAACAAGTCCAATGTATCATTCTTCATCGTACACTGCTGCTACATATTTCTTTGGCTGTATATAATAAACTTGAGCATGTTTTCTTCTGATACACTTTTGAGCATTCCAAGTTTCTGACCTTTTTTTTGTGCATTATGTGATATGTGGTATATTTCTAGCTTTGCATTGGAAATGAGCACAAAACAGTGATGAGAATGTGTCCCAGCAGCAATTCTTACATATATAAATTCAACTTGATTTTTGTTTTCAATAGTATTCACTTCTTCAGATCATAAAAAAACAAAGTCAATTTCATTTATCACATACAAATGAATACACCTGTAGTGTAATCAGAATATGACCTGTTGTTGTTGCCTTAAACTTGCCTGAACGGTCATAAGTTTGAACTTTTTACAACATTTATGTTGACTCGTTGCTCCTTCTGAAAAGTACTTAATAATGCTAATGTTTGGAAAAGTTCCTTGAATTTTTTTTGATAATTTCTAATATGATGCAGTATGCTGCATTTATATCATGTTCCAGATGGTCACTAAACACATAAAAAGACTTCTCAATAAGTTTTTTCCTTACCTTATATAAATAGCAACTGAATGGGGAGTTGCATGACTACTGTCTCAATAATAACTCTATACAAAATCCCGAATAACGAAAGAATAATTTTCAGCAAGGTCAAGTAAAATGATAACTGTATCCAGTCAGTAGTGAAGACATGGTGCCTCAGCTTTGACAGCAAAGTGATGCATACACAACTCATCAATTGTATCATAGAGTATTTCAGTATCAATACTTTTGGTTTCTTTCATATTTATTAAGGTTGATCTGTTAATGGTGTACCACTGGCTAAACTGTAGTTTGTCTTCATCAGTGGAGGTCTCTTCAAATATCCTGGCAAGAAAGGTGGATAGGACGTCTTTTTTATTCCCTAACATTTTTTGTATTGATAAAGCATATGTTTCATGCTTTTTTGCACGTTATTATTCTGTATTCCTAGGTGCAGTATTTGATTAAATAAAAATTATTTAGTGTAATAGTATCATTAGTATAAAAAAAGTAGACTTAAGTTTCATTAACAGTCATAAAAAAAGGAGAATTCCCAGGTAAGTATTATTTTTCTTGCTTTTTATGTGTATAGTTTATTTATTATCATAAAAGTAACTAAATTGTAACAATTAGAAACTTATTAGGCTTAATAAAGTATGATAAGGAGAAAATAATAATTATAATAAAATTCTTCATGATATATGCTTGCAAGCAATTTGTACATTCCATAATTTTATTCACCATCCCTCCAATAAGTGTGAAATTTAATGTAAATTACTCACTATAAAATTATCATTGCTTAGACAGACCATAATTTTTAGCCTTCAATCCTGTTTGATTACAAACTCAGACTTCTCTTGCCACACCCACCTGTCACATCCTCTTTTTCAGCATTTGCAAATAGTTCTCTCTTACTCTTTATACTGTATTATGTATAACCAATAGAAAGGCAAGGTTTTCATCTATAAAATTATGTATTATATTATGTTCTTTTCTGAACAGAGAATTGTCATTTTCTCTGTTAGTACAAGCTTTGTTCCCATGGGAAAGGCAACGACTAGCTTGGATGAATTTGTAAGGACTCTTGTTACATAGTTAGAAAGCCATAAAAACTGTGATAGTTAGGGGACATTGTCTGCTTTTTGCATGTTATTATTCTATATTCTTTGGTGCTTTATTTAATTAAATGAAAATTATTTAATGCATTACTACTATTAGTATAAAAAAAATAGATTCAAGTGTCATTGCCCCCCGGTAGCACAGCGGTATGTCTGCAGACTTACAATGCTAGAATCCGGGTTTCGATACCCGTGGTGGGCAGAGCACAGATAGCCCATTGTGTAGCTTTGTGCTTAACTTCAAAAAGAAACAATTAAGTGTCATTGACAGTCAACAGCAGAAAATTTTAAAAAATGTAAAAATAGGGATCTCTTTAGGTTATTTAAGATTAGATTAGGT